ATGAATAAAGTTTATGATTTCATTTGTGTAAACTGCAAAAAATTTTGATTTGATTATAATTTTCAATTACATAACATGTTTATTACAGAATTACAGAATTACAGATACATTTACATATTACAGAATTGCAGAATTACATATACATTTACATATTACAGATTTTCTGACAACTGCATAATTGAAAAGTTGTCATATTACAGAATGGCCAAACTATTTACAGATGGCATCATTAGCCCAAACTACTTTTTGTTATTAGCCAAAATTGGGTGAAATTATTTTAAAGTTGTTTAAGTTAAAACAAGTTGTTTCGTATAGTTTTTTAATGTTCATGCTTATAAAAAATGTTGAGAAGCCCAAATTACCCAAACTAGTTTGGGCTTTGAGAAAACAGTTTGGACCAGAAACCTTATTCCCAACCATTTAGTGTGACAAATCATTCAACTACAAACATGGTGGAAATTTGATTATATCAAAAATGTGATGATCATTTGTGATATATGAATTTATATTGTATTACATTTAATTTCAATTATTTTAAAGTACTGACATGCACAAACATGCATAAAAACTCCTAATGAGTAACACAATTTCTGAGTGATACTTGCAAAAAACAGTTATGATTATTTTCTTTTCCTTATGTTCTTTCATTAAAAAAAGAGATATGTTAAGATATGATTCATTCCTAAATGATAGAATATAACATTTTTGTTATATATAACCTAGGATTAGTTAATTTAATGGGAGACCAATGGCAGTTATATTTGTCCAAAAAGTGCAGAAGGGAGTGAAATAGTTTGCCATATGTGTGACAAAATGTAACTAAATAAAAAAGGAATGCTTAAAAGTCAAGTTTCTGATTTAGGAGGTGGCATTACTGCTGGGGTAGTTTTAAGAGCAAACTCTAAAGGTCATGTAGCATTATGTACCAAACACTATGCTGACACCTTTGAAGAAATAACTAGGCAAGAATGATCAGACATTTTGCCTGTGTTTAGGGATGTTGTAAATAAACTTTAAGGATACCAGCTGCAACTTTTGATGATGGTTGCTACCATCTTTATGACCATTTTGTTTCCTTTTTTGGATTGTGACATGGAACACTAATAAACTTGACAAGGCATATAATCCAACAGGCTACAGAGTTAGGATGCCAATATCACCAATTGGCACCCAAAACCTACCCCATTTTTATATGCAGGTAGTCCCTAAATACAAAGAGGGTTATGGAAGTGTAGAAATCAAAAGTGTGTTAGGAAAAAGTTTTGCCCCAGAAGTGGCCAAGGATGCAAAAAAACTTTTCCAATTAACAGATAACAATACTATCATTGCAGAAAAGGGTAAAATTGTTGCCAAATTACACATTGAAATAGGAAATATAACCATTTCTATCAAAAATCATTTACCCAATGATATCAATGCTGAGGATCAAGAAACTTGTGACCAAATTGGAGAAGCCTGTCAAGAACTTATACAAAAAATGAAATCCGCATCATTTGCTGGTGGTTATACCATCAAATGTGAGCTTAAGGAAAAGGCTACACAATTATGAAGAAAAGAAGCATAAACTCCTTCAAGTTATAGTGAGACTTATCCCCATCTGAATTTTTGATATTATTTTTTCCTAGATTTACGTTGCAAAAATGATGAAGGCAATTCAGACCCCCAAATAGTGTTCCATGTCGCAATCCAAAAAAGGAAACAAAATGGTCGTAAAGGTGGTTGCAACCAGTGGTTGCAATCATTTTTATATGACGCAAAGGTGGTAGCAACCATCATCAAAAGTTGCAGCCGGTATCCTTACCCCCAAAAAATCAATTTTTAGGCATTATGGAAGGTGAGAGAGTTGCAGAAAAAATAAGAGATCCAGGGGCTTATTATCAAAAATGAAATAAAGTTCCTCAGGCTCAATTAGAAAACCAACTTGACAAGAGCAAACAAGAAAAAATTTACTGAATGGTTGGTTGTGGAACACTTGCTTTTTTCTAGTTATTTCAGTTATTAAGGTAATTAAGGTTAGGAAAAATAAAAGTTAATTATGACATCTAATATCTTTTATTAGTATAAAAATTATTCAATTACATTTTGTGCTGGCTTGGGTCAAGTAATATCTTTATATTCATCTTTCACAAGTGGGCGAATATTATGATAAAGATATTTTTGTCTTTTATAATCCAAAGGAGGCGGTATTAACACCAGTGTTGTGACCCGAAACTCTGAGTTTAGGGAAAACCCAAAACAGAAACTAACAGAAACCACCCGAAACTAGTTTAGGTTAGTAGCTTAGGTTTAGGTTTAGGTTTACATTTAGGTTTAGTTTTAGTTTTCTGCTTAGTGTAAGTTCATTTTCCGAAACTTTTTGGGAAGTCAAAAGAGTTTTCTGGTCACAATCAAATAGATATATGTTATTTTTTATTTGTTGAAACTTCTGGATGTAATTTCATTTATTTAAAGTGGTTTTAGCATGTGGACATTCTTTGTTGTCACATTTGTATGACATTCAACAAAACAATTTTATCACCAATCTCATTTTGCAGAATATGTTTGGATTTTTGCTTTTAAATGTTAAGAAAAACATTGATAAAAATCTGGGGCTAGCTAATTACTTTTTTTCAATGAAAAAATAGAATTTGTATTATCAATAGAGATGACAAAGAAATCCATGTGGACCCATATTAATCTAAAGGATACAAATTAAAATGGTGCTTTAATGCAAGAGACTTTAATGTAGTTATAAATCCTGAACATAATCACCAAAAGCATTATTTTCAATTTAAGACAAATACAATAATCAATTCATTCTTTTAGCACTTAAAAATCTTTGATTAAAAAGTTCATAAAATGTACTTCTTTTTCTGACCTCATCCATCAGCTGTTTTGCTTTCTTGGTAAATGAGTAGAAAGGATAATTATGTTGTGAAAATGGTTGATTAATAAGTGATCAAACAATTGTATATACTGTATATTAAATTTATTTTTATATAATAGTTACATTAAGTATGACTTTAACAATGCAACTTATATTATTTTTATTTTGCAGCTTATTATCTTTTCCTCTCTTAGCAACAAGGAGGTTTTGTAGTGTGAAGCAATGTATTTATAAATTAGCAAATCTGGTAGCAATTTATGATTCGAAAGTACTTTAAAAAAAAGGGAAAGGTAACCGCGACACATAATTCGGGTCAATAGAGAATTAAATTTAAATCCAAATAAGGAAAAAATCACGCCATAGGGTTTACTGACTAGCCCATTTTTGGTTAATTAGTATAAGATATTGGGAAATCACTATTAAGCTATTCTTTCAAACGTCACCGTTTATTAAATTATATTAATGATATTGATTTTTTTTATGACATAGATATGTTCGCTTTACATTTTTTCTTTTATTATTGTATTTTATATGCAAAAAAGAAGGTATTATTTATTTATTTTTCTATTCTAATACACAGTGAATCTCGATTTAACGGATAGTTTGGGCAATTAGGGAAAATTTTCCAAAAATCCGTTAAACCGAGATAT